GGCCGGGCGGGGCCTCCAGCCCTCCTTAAAGCCCGGCCGCCGCCAGCACCCTCTCTCTCCTCCTCCCTCCTTCCCTCCCCGCCAGCGCCGTGCCGGCAGCATGGGTAGGTGCTGGGCGAGGCGAAGGGAAGGCGCCTCGGGGGTGGGTGACCGGTGGTGGATGCGATGCGATGCGATGCGATGCGATGCAGGGGCCCTGGAGGGATGCCGCCTCCAGGCTGAGCGTTAGACGGGTCTTCAAGCTGCCTCAACCTTCCTTTCCAACCTTACCGATTCTATGATTCTATCAGGGGCATGGTTTAGAGGTGGACCAGGCAGTCAGGTTAACAGGTTGGACTCGATGATCTCAGAGGTCCTTTCCAACTTTACCGACTCTATGATTCCATCAGACCCGCTGTCAGTGCTGGGCTGTGAGCAGCCCATGGAGAGCTGGCAGCATGGCTGAGGGGTCCCGGGACCCTGGCGGTGGCTCTGCGGCTCGGTGCAGGTCTAAGGATACCTTTGGGTGCCTTGTGCCCCTCTGGGCTATCCCCAGCTACTGCTTCTTCATCGGCTCTCTTCCTCCGGGGCAGCTCTCCCTCTGGCAGCGCTATAGCCAAGCTTGTATGAATCTGCCTGAAACCCTAGTGAAAGCCAAGCGATGTTGCCTTAGCCTCTGTAAGCTCTTTGAGCTGAACCCCCAGCTCTAAGGGTTTTTCTTAAACGTTTAAGGCGTGTGGAGTTTAGAATCCTAGTACAAGTTAAATGTGGTGTTTCTCATAGTTCTTAAATAATGCTTTTGCACAAGGGAGTTTACCTAGGCTTGACCTAATCAGTGTTCTTTAAATACACAGAAACACAGCTGGAAGATTTAGATAAGGGCAGAGCCCGTTTAGCTACTTAATCCTAAAGATTTGTTCCTGTCTAAACTGGAACACCGTAAAAGCACAAACAGCACTTTTTCTGTGGTGTAGCTCTCTGTCGCCCTTCGCTGGACCCTCGGTCCTGCAGTGTCTGAGCCTCTCCTAGCAAGCAGCTCCTGAGCTGGGGAAACCTTGTCTCGCATGGGGCAGGAACCTGAGGTGCCCCAAAAATGAGAAAGTACCATTGCATCTTCAGGAGGCAAATCTGCACCCTGGGGACAGGCAACCATAGTGATGAGCAGGCAGAGCTTGGCAGTGCTGCTGCCCAGAGGGACACCAGGGTCTCGCTGGCTTGGGCAGCCAGCTGGGAAAATGGTGATGGCTCTGGCAAGAGAGAGAAACCCGATGCAGCTGGGTCTGCTCGGGTAACATCAGGTTTGCTGCATTATAGGTTTGCTTTGATGGTTTCCGTGTCAGCACCTTTCTGGAAGAGCGAGGTGTGAAGCAGGGACTCCCGGAGTCACTTGTCTGATGGCAGCAGCATCCTTGTGTAGGCGCTGTAAGGCTGCTCCAAGGAGCAGAGGCAACTGGCTTGGCTGTGCTGCGAGTCAGGTGGCAGGAGAGCAGGCTCGCTCTGGAGCCAGGAACATGCTAGGTGACATTTATGGTTGTGTACAGATTTAGCCTGGCCACAGACATGAAGTATTTCAGCCAGGTAAAGCTGCTGTGATGGCTGCGTGGAGCAAGGCAATGCGCTTCCATCTTGTGATGTGGACCGTGGGCTGCAAGTGCTGCAGCATCCCACAGCATGTCTGTGACTGCAGGGAACCATGCTGGTGGGAGCTGCTGGGGAAGGGGTCAGAGCCATAAGCCTGCCCCCCACCTTGCCTGCAAGCGTGGGAAGGACAGACAGACCCACCGATAAATAACTATTTAGGTTCAATGCTCGAGCCAAGAACTGAGTGGCTTCTGTCTTTACATTGCTTAAAAATATTGAATATCGTAAGGGGGTACAAAGTGCATAACTGTTTAGAGCTTTATTTTGAAAAATGCGAAGCCCTTCAGTATTTTGTGGTGAAAATGAGCAGTTCTGCAGGTCATTCTTTGTGGGGCAAGAATGAGAGGTACCGAGGATTGCCCAAAGGAGGGACTGCTCCAACGTGCCACTAGCAAAACCCAGGTTTATCACTGAAATCAGATGCGAAACGCTGGGTGCTCTGTGCTTTTGAAGGTCTAACCCTGAAGCTGCCTGGCAGTGGAGCTCCTCAGACAGTTTAGGTGCCTATGTTGAAATGTCAGCTTTAATGCCATCAGGAGTTTCCTAACTGTTGCTGTAAAAGGAGAATAGAGGGGAAAAGGCAAAATGGTTGAGAAATAAGTTTACCTCTTAAACACTGAAGTCAGTCAATGTTGTCTGGAAAAAAACGCCTCAGCAATGGCCTCTGTGTAGGGTTTCTTGCAGAGGTGATACTTTTACCCTCTGGAAAGGAAAAAAAAAAACCAACCAACTACAAGTTCCTTGCTATTTTTTTCCCAAGGCTTAGCTAGCAGACAGGAGTGAGCTGCTCAAAGTGATGTTATGAAAAACTGGCAGTATCATGCATATGTGCTGGAAAGGCCGACAAGTGGAAATAATCAAGAAGTTGTTACGAAGATAGTCTAATACCAATGTCTCAGTATCCTTCAGTATATTTGCTCACAAGAGTTGTGTCAGAGACATTACCAATGACTCGGGTATCCGCCTGTGCCGTGAAGTTGGTGTAATAGCACTTTCTGGATGGTATTTTTTTCTAGGAAGATATATTCTTGAACCACCTGCATAATACTTCCTTTGTCTCTATTGCGAAGGTAGTTGTCCATGGCAGTGAAGGAAAGAATCAGATCAATTTGTTTTAATAATTTTTGAAGGTGACTTTATTCAGTATCGTGTCAAACACTAGTGTTGCTGTCAGCTGTTTTGATCCATTGTGAACTCTGGACTAAATCATGATCTTGGCAAACCCATTTTTCTTAGAGATCTATTATGGGCACACTTTATTTGCAAGCAGGGATTTCAAAGTCCACATCTTGTACTTGGTATTATCTTAATGATAATGAACTTGCTCATGTGGTTTTATAGGAAATGCTGACATCCACTATGTAGGCACAGGGCCTTTATCTGAAATGGTGCAAGTGCAGCCTTCAAGCCTGTCCTATGAGCCAAGCAAGCCCTGCAGGACAGTGCTTGGAGGGCTGCCAGGGGTAGCGAACCTGCCGTGAGCAGCTGGAAGTGATTTTGGGGCTGCAAGTAGATGTCCGCTCTCGCTGATCTTAGCGGGACCCCTCTTGTGCTTCCAGGGCTTCCTAGGTTAATCTCCAGGTTATGGGAATGCCTGCTAACGTGGATCACTCTGTTGGATCATGTATTCAGCACTCCTTAAGTCTGAGCCATGTGAAGTTTTCCCCTTTTCAGGACCTGGCATCCACCCTGGCAGGGCATCTTCAGTCTATTCTTTACTCTTGAATTGCCTTTAGGGTAACAGCCACGAGAGGGAATTAAAACAGGATTCATCTTCTGTGCTTGGTAGGGTGGTCTACCAGCACCTTGAATGATACATGGTGAGCAGTCGTAGCAGGGTGGGATGCTTTGTCTCACCAGTCTTTGATGTTTCCCTGGGAATGTATGCGAGTCTATGCATAGCCTGAAAAACAAAAGGCAATCAAGTGAGGTTTTTCTTAATAACCTCCTCGCACCATACAAAGTCCCCCTTTAACAAACTGAAAATTTACCCATCCTGAACAATACTGTGTTTGTTTCATGATTGGTTTTGAGCTGAACTTTTCCCGTATCTTCTAGTGGTTTTAAAGGAATGTTACTTAGTAGTGTCTGTTAACTTGTGGTTTTTTTCCCTCCACAGCTGCAAAAAGCAAGGGCAAGTCGGTGAGTATTGTTTTCTATTATAAAAAGTTTCTATACTGACTCTCTTTGGGTTACATTGTTTGGGTAACTTTAGCAGTGTGCAAAAAAAAAAAAAAGCATCCTATAAACATACTTTAAAATAATGAGTTATTGGCCAACATGCACAGAACAGCCTGGTAGCTCATTAAATCCCAGCTAAGCATCAGTGTGCTCACCACCCTGATAAAGTGTCTGAAGAGCCTTTGCTGACTGGGCAGACATCGGCTGGGAGGAGGAGGGTTCCTGGAGTCCATCCTTCATGTGCCTGAGTTGTCATCGTCAGCTGACTCTCCCCTAGGACCCTTTTACCTTTTGGTGTTAGTGTTCTTCCTCTTGAATCTTTGAACTGTTAATGACACCCGCCTCAGCAACCCTATCTCTGCCTTTGCTTTTCTTATCTCGCAAGGTTTTACTCTGCAGACTTTCCCCGCAGCTTTCTCACACCTTAGTGGCTTCCTCAGCAGCCAAAGTCAAAGCTGTGCAGTGGAGTGGTGCCAGACCTGTGCCTGGCATCCCCAGGGCAGGGGAAGGTTACAGAGAGCATTACGAGACATAATCTTCAGGTTACCTCTTCAGTGATGGATCCAGTGCTTTCTGGCCAGTAGAGATCACAGCAGAAGGTGTTTCAGTAAATGTGTGTGTATACACACGTATAATGCACCAGAGGTTTAAGAGGACAGTATAGTGCAAAACAAGAACACTATAGGTCCTATATTATCAAGGTATAACTGCATATTGTCTTCTTGCTTGTGTCATCTTGGAAAAATAGATCTATTGCCTTGGGAAAGACCCTGTAGCTTTCTCCTGCATGCCCCTGTTTGTGCTCAGGTCCAGCTGTGACATGCAAATCTCCACCAGCTCAGGAGCAGCCAGTAGAAACCCACCCGTGGCTGCTGTGCTGACCTGTGAATGCAGGACATCTCTGCCAGGCACATAAGTGCTAGTGGCTTAAAACAGAAACTCAGCCTTGGTGGAAGTTTGTTACCTCCCCAGATGAGCACGTAACACCGCTTTACACGATAAGCAGTTGGGCAGTGTGATGGTGTAATGCTGGGGAGGTTTGAGAACCCCAAGAAGGACAAAAAGGTTTTAGTGAGATTTTGTGAATTTCTGGTGGAGATAGGTCCTGCCAGGACTGCCCTGTGCCTTTTTTCTCTGTAGGCAGGCCAGGCACAGGGAAGGCTATCTCCTGCTTCAGATGGGGACAGCCTCTCCTCCCCAGCTAGGTTATACCCAACTGGTTTAGGGCCTGACCCAACAACTGCCAAAATCAAAACCTTTTGGGTATATCTATGGGTGGTGAGCCAAACCTTCATGGTGTGGTTCCCCATCCACCTCCTCAGGAGCATGATTGTTTGCATGGCTTGGTGAGGGTGCAGGGGCAGGGCTGGGTGCCATGCTTCTGTGTGAATTCCAGTCCACCAAAAGCTGTGTCCAAGTTGGGGCTAGTCATCTAGAGCTCCTGCTATCTTCGACCGAGGGAAGTAGGCACCTTTGAGTGAATTTTGTCTAATTTTGGGATACATGTGGATGGTCTTCCTTTGGAGGCACTTCTTTCTGCCCATGGAGGATGTGATAAATCAAGAGTGACAAGTTTTTATTTAGGCCTCTAATTTCTGTTGCTTTGATGCTAGATGAGTCCCACCTGGCCCTCCCCTCACCTGAAGTCAGATTTTTTCAGTGAAGCTTGCTTATCAAACCATGGGCAAGATGTGCACTATATACTTTGTTCAGCCGATGACAAAGATCAGTGCTGTTCAGGCTGCTTGGACATCCTCATGTCTGGGTCAGACTAAGTCAGCAACATTCTCGCCACTCTCTCTTATTTTCATTTCTCGTGCAGTATTCGTGCAGCTTATTGTAGCACACAAGTCTCACGAAGTGTTGTGTTGTTCATTAAGGCTCTAGCCAGAGGCTTTGCTGGAGACATGGGCTCTCCAATTTACTCATGTCAGGCAGGATTTTCCCACATAAGGTTTCTTTCCTTTTGAGCTACAGAGTTAACCTTTTTCTGTTTCACATGGAATGTGGATTGGTTTGATTCCTAAATGCCCACAATATTTCTTTTTTTCTTGTCCATGCTTCTTAAGTTTCATAACTGTTTTACCTCGGGGATGTTCTGAGGCTTATTAAAAATCTGATTTTTGCAACTTGCAGGATTAAGCCCATAAAAAAGGTAAAATATGGAGGATTATGTTCAACTTGCATTCCTAGTAATTTTAATAGAAATGTATTCATCTACTGAGAAAAGTAGGCGATCCGAAGTTAAACTTCCAATTCTGCTGATCATGCCAGATTTGTACCTGATGGGTGCTTTTTCCCTTTGTTGCAATGGCAAGACCCATGTCAGAAGCTGCGTGATGGTAACTGTGGAGATGCCTATCGCAGCAGGTGAAGGCTCAGTAAATCTGGCAGTTAATGCCATGCCATTTTAGGTTAGGAGTAAAGTCGGTTCTATCAGCAAGTCTGAAAAAATGAAGGATTCTTCATCAAGCAGAGTATTTGTAAGGATTGGGAGCTTTCCCGAGAGGTTTGTTTGAGACAGATAAATACCTCCAGTTGAATAAAATGTTTAAAAATAGCCCCAGGCTTCTAACTTTGGTGTGCTGTGGAGGTTTAGCATGGTGGGGGTTTTGTTGGGTTTGGGGTTTGATTGTTTTCAAAAACATTGGCTTTTTGCATATTTTTGGATACCAGTCAAGATTGCTGTAAGGGTTAGATGCTGAAGACTTCAAATGTGCGTAACACAACACTTGAAGGTCAAATATAGCATTGGTAAAGGTTTCTTGCAAAGGGCAGATGACAAGTCTGTAGAGCTCTGGGGACCAAGAGAGGAGAGTGAGAATTGACTCTTGATTCAGGTAAACCAGTGTCGTTCCACAGAAGCCCATGTGGCCTCCTAACCCCTGAGTACCTACCCACTCCTGCTGAGTCTGTATTGAGCTTGCTCAAGCTGTGGGTCGCAGTAAGCACGGCTCTTTGCTCACACAGTCTGTCTCTTGCCTCCAGCCCAGCTGCTTCGGCTACCCCTTGAGCATCTTCTTCATCGTCATCAATGAGTTCTGCGAGCGGTTCTCCTACTATGGCATGCGAGGTAAGTCCCGTGTCCTGTATGTCCTCTTACCTACCATTACTTACCTAGCCCCGACTTTGGTTTGTAACCCGTTGTTTTGTTCTTCTTCCTACAGCGGTGCTCGTTTTGTATTTCAAATATTTCCTGCAGTGGGATGACAACTTGTCTACAGCCATCTACCACACGTTTGTTGCTCTGTGCTACTTGACACCGATCCTCGGAGCGCTCATTGCGGACTCTTGGCTGGGAAAATTTAAGTGAGTGCTTCCTCAGAAAACAGCCAAAAATCATGAAAGCTCACCTGAGATCAGGGTTATTTAAACCATCACCTAAAGCAGCAGCTTAGAACAACAGCTTCAGAGCTGGTGTTGGCTACACCAGGATTGTTTGTATTTCTTTTTCTCCAGAGCTTGAGGTTTTAATTGATATAGCTCAGACCTGAAACTACGCTATCAGTTAACAAACATTACAGTTCTGCTAATCATTTAAGGGTAGTAGCTTGCTTTCCAAGCATGCTGCATGTTTTTCCTCTCATCTGGACAAAATATAAGCTAAGGAAAGTATTCACCAAGCTGTGAAAATAGATACTGGAGGTTATAATTACATTGGACTGCCTCTTTACCTATTGCAGGTGGCCAATGAAATAGTGAAATACTGTGTTATCTGGTACTAACAGGGACTTAGAATATATTCTAAAATATTCTGCGATTTCTGTATTGACTTGACAGCTCAGTGGGAGGATTTATTGAGTTGCAACTCTTTCTTTAAATGATGAATTCTGGGTTTTTACCTGTGTGCTAGTTGCTCAGAAAAGTACCGCTGAATGAAGTGCTTTGAAACGTAACCAAATTATTTGCAACAGCCTGATCTTGCTCTTCTTTATCAATGTCATGACTCTAATAGTGTTTACTTTGCCTGAAAAAAGCACAATAAAGATTTTTATGGAGGGATATGAATCAGGAACGTTAGCTGACTTGTCAAAGGTCTCCCAGAGATTAGAGACGAAGCTGGCTGTGCAGTTGGTTGGCTGAAGGCTGCACCATCCTCTTCCACTGTGTTGACAGCCTCTGGGAGACCAAGGCTGCAACCCCTGTCAAGCGTGCTCTGTGGAGCTGGCCTGATCAATATAAGCCATTGCAAGTGGCTTGATACCATGCAGACTGCAGACTAAATGTACATGCACTCACTTGTTCAGAGGCTATGATTTTTTTAAAATTTATTTTAAAACTATTTTGGCTTTTACCTGTTTTATCAGATGAAGCTTTGCAGACCTTGCATCCCTTCTCCTCTGGTACTTGTGTATACCAGCGCCACAGCTGCCAGCGCCTGGCCTCCAGACCCTTAACAGGAGCTTGGTAGGATGGTTCAGGGCTTAAAACTGGAACTTCAAGCTTGATAAGAAAAAACATGCTTTTTGAAAAAATATAAATAATTTGCTGGGTTTAATGTATAGATGCCCCAAAATATAGCAGGGTGCCATGAGGAAGGCTGAAACAATAATTCATTAAAAAAAAAAAAATCTATGATGACAAAAGGAAGAGGAGGTTACCCAAGCACTGTTAAGCACTCTTATAGGAGAGACTCAAATCTTCCACAGTCCATGTACTTTGTGCAATGTCTGCCAGGGAACATGCTGGGACCTGCTCACATGTTGTTAGATGTGAAGTTCTTGGGAAAAACAGTACAGAAGTTATGATATTTTCTTTTTAATTGGGAAACATCTACGCAGTGCCAACTGTTGTCTTCACAGCATGCTTATGAGCCTCACCAATAACAACCTGAAGTTTCTCTCCTGGTCAGCTCAGGTTTCGTTTCCGTTGGAAACTTTCTCATAAGTTGTTAAGCCAAGCAACTAAAGTAACTATACGGAAGAGCTATTTTCAAAAAAGTTTGATTTTTATCTAATAAATACCAATAAATAGCAGATTCAGCTTCACTGTTGCCCCACTTTGTATATTTTTTTTACCCTGTTGCTGGGAAGACCATTTTTAAAAGTCAGAAAAAAATCTTGTTTTAAAGTGAGAAGAACTTCGTCAATGGTGTGAGTGATGCTTTCTCCACTGCTCTTCTGTTGGGGTGCTCCAAACTTGCTGTGAGGATCTCTTGCCTTTCTCAAACAGATTCGGATTGTCCTAGGTCCTTGAGCCTTGCCTTTCATTGGCATGGGCTGCACTGGGTTTGGGACTGCTGCTTCTGCAAACTGGAGTTTTAAACTTCACATAATTGCATCCTATTTCTCCTGCTTTTCCTCCAAACCAGAGACCTGGGTCTGTGCCTATTGAATGGAGCCCCAACCAAGGAAGAAGATGAATGTGGGTTAAACTATAGCCATGTACTTAAACCCCAACAAAGTTAAAATGGAGTATGTTCTTACATACCAGAAAGAGGAATGGACCCTAAAGGAATGGTGGGGCTCGTAATTCTGTAGTATCACCTTCCCAGGCACCTCGTGGCAGAGGAAAGTCAGACTGAAAGCCTGCGGTCTGTGTTCTTCAGTGCTGGTCTTGCTCAGCTCTGAGTTTAAAGATGTTGGCACATTTGCAACTGAGACACCGGAGTAATGGAGTTGTTCACAACAGTGTTTCTGGGATAGTTTCTATGTTTAAAATAGATTCAATTTTTTTTTTTCATCCTTGCAGCTAAAATATAAAAGAACATAGAGAATGTTTAAATAATATAAAAATGGATGTATATTGCATGCTTCAGTCTTGTAGAGTAGTCCGTTTGAACTTCACCATATATGAAATACGATAATGGTATTCTCAAGTTGCTTATTAAAAAGGCAACCACTGAAGATCTTTAAATATCTCCTGTGACTTGGTGATATCTAAAGAACCTTTTTGTCATCTTGCTTTGCTTAATTAAACAAGGCTAGCTAAAGTAATAATAATAAAAAATAAACAGAATAGAAATATTGTGACAGGGGTATGTGGACAGATTTTTACAGTAGCGTGTGATAAGTTGAGTCCATAACTTGTCGTATCTGTTAATTATGCTTCTTTACTAAGCATCTTTGAAATGAGCAAAAGTCTGCATTATCTGTGCGTGTGTGTGTATATGTGTGTAATTGTGTTAACATACCTAAAAATTCATCTCCTCTCTTTACAACAGGACCATTGTCTCCCTGTCCGTTGTCTATACGATTGGGCAGGCAGTCATGGCTGTGAGCTCCATAAATGACCTGACGGATCACAACCGGGATGGCTCTCCCGATATTGTAACAGTGCACATGTGAGTTGCCTTGTACATGGTTTTTTTCCAGGTTGATGATGGGTGGGATAACTTACACCTTAAATTTATGCTACTTGAATTTCAACTGCCTTGCAATTGGTCTCTTACGTATGCTTTAGGTAAGAAAGCAAAGTGATTTTTTTTTTTCTTTTTTCTGCTTTGTTCCAGTGCTCTGTCCATGGTTGGCTTGATCCTCATTGCACTTGGTACTGGTGGGATCAAACCTTGTGTGTCAGCGTTTGGTGGAGATCAGTTTGAAGATGATCAGGTAACAATGTCTTTCAGATTTTCAATCATACAGATATTCTTACTAATGTTTTACTATTATAATCCTCTATTAATACATGTATTTAGACATGTAGTGTTTCCTGAGTAGCTGAAGAAGGAGCTAGATAACTATTTGTCTTGAACTGTGCAAACAGAGCTCCTGATTGTTCAATCTAGGCTGATCAACGTGGTTCTGGCTAAGCCTTTCTAAACACCTTTTTGTTTTTACTGTAGGAAAAACAAAGAACTAGATTCTTCTCTATCTTTTATTTGTCCATTAATGCTGGAAGTCTCCTATCTACTATAATCACCCCAATTCTCCGAGGTAAGGCCACACATTTTTTTATAAAGTAGTCAAAGATCAGTAAAGGATGAGTGGTGGGTTGCAGTCCAGTTAGGTTTAAATGAATAGTCTGTTCTTTGACACCTTGTGGAGTTATCTGGCAAATAGTCTTGAAGGTTTCATGGATGTCATCCAACTTCTCATAGGTGAGGTACTGTCAAGAACAAGCCAGTCTGAGGTCTGAGTTGCCTTTAGGATTGGAAGTACTAGATCTGAAGCCATCAACTTGTATGCCTAATGCACATTTTAATTCCATGGAGGTACAAATGTGGCGCCTCTTCCAATGCCTTTAAAACCATCGCACAAGAAAGAGTTGTACTGTTTGCTGGGAAGGGAAGGGGGGAGAGAGCCCTCTGCTCTGGAAGTGGAGACTATGCTAAAGTGTGCCCATGCAAAGTACAGAAGCATCTATGCATGTGGGAACACATTTATCCATGTGACAATCACATTTTTCATATCGTTAAAGGATAAAGTTATTTTCTCTTCTGCTTGTAATGAATAGCGTGATCCTAAACAAAGAGCAAACAATCCACTGATCCATATGTGTATGGACTTTCACTGCAAGCTTACACAGATGGTGCTGTATGGATGTGCTTGGCAGGAGTTTGAGGAAGGTTGTTTTTCTCAAAAGAAAGAAAATGGCATGCAAATTCTGGAATAACCCTAAAGTAGTGGGCTGAAATTCTGGCTTTTGGATTTCTTGACTGGAACAGACTTTGTAGAAGCATGTTAGATGTTTGCTTAATGCAGATTCTATCCTTTCCCAAAATGGAAGGAGATGTGCATAAGGCACAACACAAGGAACAAGTTTGCCTCCATGCTGATACAGGGTGAAAACTACCTCGGAAAAACAGACTAATACAGCTGAGCAAAGTGGTACCATTACTTCTTGTAAAGGTTTAACTAAAAGGCTAATACAACTAAATCAAGACATTAATTAGCTGCAAGCTAATATTTTTTTGAATCAAACTTTCTAATTCTCCTTTTAGAAGAAGTATGGTGAAAAAGGTAATAATTTTGTTTAGCTTTTTACTTTTCCCTGTTAGTAGCTACGTCCACACCCTGAGCATCATTTCAGGATGTATGCATGAAGTTTAGAAAGTCAAATCACTGACTGCTGCTGGGGAGGGGGTGTTGGTGTGTGGTGTTGGAGAATTTTTTTCGACAAGCTACACTTATTATGTTACTTACATCTTTGTTTATGAACTTGTCCCAAAACTTTTGTGAGCTAGTTCCTTTCTTACGAAGAACATGCATTTGACCCTTCCAGGAGGATTCTTCACTCCTCAGTGTAAAACCAAATGTAAATCTTCTATGAGGAGAGCCTGAGAGAGCTGGGACTGTTCTGCCTAGAGAAAAGAAGGCTCAGGGGGACCTCATCAATGTATAGAAATACATGAAGGGAGGGTGCAAAGAGGAGGGAGCCAAGCTCTTCTCAGTGGTGCCCAGGCAAGGGCAGGGCCAGAGGCCATGGGCAGAGATTGAAACACAGGAGGTTCCCTCTGAACATCAGGAAACACTTTGTCACTGTGAGGGTGACCGAGCACTGGCACAGGTTGCCCAGGGAGGCTGTGGAGCCTTCGTCCTTGGAGATATTCAGAAGCCATCTGGACTGGTCCTGGGCAACTGGCTCTAGGTGGCCCTGCTTGAGCAGAGGGGTTGGACCAAATGACCTCCAGAGGGCCCTTCCGACCTCAACCATTCTGTGATTTTTGTGATGCATAATTCCCCTTTTCGATAATGAAAGATAAGTTTGATACTGATCATCCACTCTGTCAATAACATCAGCAGATTTTTTTTTTTTCCTTGAGTCAACAATGAATGCAAAGAACAGAAACCCTGTGTAAAATACTGGCAGCCCTGACTGGGATTTTTATCTCATGTTACTTTGTACTTCAGCTCAAGAGTGCGGCATTCATAGCAAACAGCGATGTTACCCACTAGCTTTTGGAGTTCCTGCTGCCCTCATGGCTGTTTCCTTGGGTAAGTGGAACTGTTTCCATCTTGCTGCTTCAGTTTCAGATGTGATTAGATGATAATGATCTCAAAATAATGAGAAAGTGCTAGAGATCTCCAGCTGTCAACCTCTACCGATACCTGATAGCTTCTGCAATTTTTGACTTAAACTTTTTCTTGGAGGTGTGGGGGTGGGATTAACCTGAAGCACTCACTTTTGCAGAAGAGACTGATTTAGAAGGGGAGAGTGATGGGGCTGAGGAGAGGCACAAATATACCATTAAATTCTGTACATTATGTAATTTACTGTCTATATTTCTTGGACTACTGGGATGTATAAATAAGATCTTTTGAATGTAGTATGAGAGTTCTGAGAAAAAGTGGGGTTTTTGGAAACTCCCTGTAGTCCAGGATAGTGAACCGCATAAGATAAGCGTCCCTGCACTAGAGAAATGCCATGCTGGTGTGTCGGCATTTCTCAAGCACCTGCATTTTTACTAGCTGCACTATGGGTCACCCCCCGAGCCTTTCTGCTGCAGCACAAAGACCAAGAAACTTGGGGTGTGAGGGGTGAGGGGGGGAGCTTTTTTGAACCCCGTGGCCAGTCTGTACCATGGTATCCCTTGTGGTATCCCCATCTTACCTGTGCACCCAACCCAGGGCGGATGGCAGCTGCTGCGGGGGTTTGCCCGCGTCCTGTCCCGCACGTGGGAGGGTGAGGCCGGGGAACGTGCCTGGGCGTGGGAGCCGAGGACACCTCGGCGGGTCCTGCAGTTCAGGCAGAGCCTCACGTGTCCCTGCCGTGACGTGAGCTGCAGCGTCCTGGACTCCTGAAAAGGAGCCTGCAAAGCTGGCGATCTGGTACAGCAAGGCCAGAGCCAAGGTCCTAAGTGGTCCTTGTTTTGACCATACCTCAAACAAACTAATGTCCCACTGAGGACTTGCCCTAAGAGTTTCCAGATTTAGTCCTTTGCCTTAAATAGTAGCAACCTGCTGATATTAATTTGATTTCGTTTACGGTATGATAACATGCCAGTAGGCACATTCATTGCTCCTTAGAAGGCTTATTCCTACCCTGATGTAACTCCTTGATTGTTATGGTTTCCACACCAAATTTGCCATGACCTTCAATTAATCCTGAGCTGCTTTCTGTTTGCGTATTTTAGTTGTGTTCATAATTGGAAGCGGCATGTACAAGAAAGTTAAACCTCAAGGCAATATAATGATTCAAGTTTCCAAATGCATTGGAGTAAGTACTATTTGTATTCCCCAAAACCCTGACAGCAATTTTTAAAACTGTTCAGTGCACTCGCCTAGATCAGAAATTTGTCATAATATGAGGAAAGCTTCTGAAGTTTTTTTACTTTTTCCTTACAGAAGGCTTCTTACTGACACCTCCAGATTCACAGACTGTCTTTTCATTTATCTATATCTTGGTTTATATCTGAATTTACACACCAATGACTTTGTTTCCTTTGTGTATAAAAGCTTATCCTTACTTCTGGGAATGATTCCTTCCTCATTTCTATACCTTTATGCAGCCCTGTAGGACAAGATAAACATGCCTTGACCTGAGTGAAGAACAGAGCTACTAGTAGCTCTTATCAGCAAAAATGTATTTCTTATTAAAGGAATGTTATTTATAATGCAGAGGTATATTGGTCCCTACTGTATTAGGGAGGTCAGGGGGGTTACGTGTCAGTGTAAACCTGCAAGGAAGGGAGCTAAATCTGCGTAACACTGCATGTCCCAACTTCACAGTGCCTCAGCTTTGAGATCAGGGGATTTTTTTTCATTTATGGACTGCTTCATTCTCCATGCAGATATGCCAGCTTGTTATAGCCCAGACCATTGCTTGTCTTGTAAGCAGTGTCAAAACCAAATCTCTGCGGGTGACTTTGGCCGTTGCTTAGAGTGCTGCCTCTAAGGTCCAGCTCAGCTTTGCATGTTATTCCATGCAGAAAGTCTTAGGCGTTCCTCAGGACTATATTTGTGTATATTCAGTGTCGAGGCATGAGGAATATCTACAAGATAGGGCTTCTCATAGTGAAATGTACTCTTACAGCTATTGACTCTGAAAACCTCTGCATACGACATTCTTCTGTTTATTGTTGTACATAAGTCTGAAGGAGGAACTTGAAGACCTGCCTAACAGTAATCCACATTGAGAGGCTACTCTGAGCTGTTTAGTTCACCTAATCCCAGGTGCCCACTCCACTGGATATGCAGCGTGAGGCCTTAAATGTATTATTCCTTTAGATGCCTAGAGCAGTTAACAGAAGTCACCTCTAGCACCCTCTAAAGCAGGAGTGTCATCTTTAATGACAAGACAGCTTATAGCATTACAAATACTTGTAATGCCATTAAACAAAATTCTGTTTCTCCTCAGTTTGCCATCAAAAACCGGTTTCAGCATCGCAGCAAGGCGTTCCCCAAGAGAGAGCACTGGCTAGACTGGGCGAGTGAGAAGTATGACGTAAGTACTGCCTGAGCATTCCTGTGCTGTGACATCCCCTGACCGCCACTTCTCTTCTGTCTGCTCTGATCCAGTGCCTCAAGCGCCGGGCAAATAAATAGTTCTGGGCTTCTCAGTCATTTAGAAGCTAATGGTCTCACCAAACCTCAGTGCTCCCCTGGGATTGCAGGTTGCCACCCCAGCTCCCATGGGAGAAAGCAGAGCTGTGTATGAGTTGATGTTCTGTGTGATCATCGGCTGCCCAGGGAAATTCAAGAAAGATGAAGAAAAGACCATTTCCCTTGCTGAACAAACACAAGCGCCTCTTAGTTTTTTAATTAGTAAAATAGCAAGCATTATCCCTGTCAACTTTTTGCTTTCTTTCAGTAAACCAGCTTCAGAACCAACTTCAAACAAAAATATGCTGGTTTAAGGACTGCAGAAGGGAAATACGGCCATGGTGTTGGCTGTCATCATTAATGCCCAGGGTCATAACACTTGTCTTGGGATCAAACTGCAGAATTATGCTTAGGAATTTCTGCTTAAGTGGATAAACACAGCATCCCCCCAGCCTCAGTACAAGCTCCTTCCCATGACTCTGAAAGCCTTGTGTCCCATAGTCTCCAGCCATGTCCCTTGCCTCCTATCTACCCTGCCCTGTTGTCAACAGCAGCACAAACCTCAGCCTGTCCCCTTTATTTTCCTTTTGCCTAATGCATTTTTCACATGTGAAATGCATTCCTCAGTCACCTGTCGTTCAAACGCCTCCTTCCTAGAAACATAAAGCAGCACTAAGTGCTAAATCTCATGCTGCCATCAGCATGCATGCCAAGAGACACAGGTTTCTAAGATATCGATGTCACCTTTAACCGGAGGCCCTTCCCACACCCACAGGCAGACTTTGTGCTTTTTAACAGAAATCAGCAGAAGTACCCCCAACATACAAAGTTCAGGACATGGGTAAACATTACATGATGTGTCTCTAACTGTTGTGCTTGCAAATAGTAGGCTGCAACTGTGTCTTTTTTTTTTTTTTTTTTTTTTTCCTTTTGACTAATTCCTCTTGTGCAATTTTCATTTGCTGCAGAAACGATTGATTGCTCAGACTAAGATGGTGTTGAAGGTGCTTTTCCTTTACATCCCCCTCCCCATGTTCTGGGCACTTTTTGACCAGCAGGTAAAGTAGAAATTGTTTGGCTTAGCAATTAGGGGTGTACCACGTCACTCTATGTACTCTGAGGTCACCAGACATAAAAGGTGCCTATATGAGGGTGGAAACTAATTCTTCGCAAACTTTTTAACCTGGTTCTAATGCAAAGGGGTAGTTATTGAGTCACGTCAGTACGGGATGTTCTGCAGCCAGGGGAAACTCAGTTTACCTAGACATGCCCAGGACTGATTCAGTGACTGAGACCTCTCCAAGTCTTGTATCAGGCAGGGCTCAGAGGATGAAACAGTAATTTAAAGCTTGCTTAATTCTAATTCTTCCACTCTCAGTTGGGAGATGCAATGTAGAGTCCTAGTGTAAATGCTCTGGAGAATCAGGGATGGAATGAGCTGGATGCCAGCTGGCTTAATCACTCAAACTTGTTAAGTACCTCACACCTTCAAGCATAAGTATAAGCCCGTAACTCCCTGTCACTTGGTGGACTGAGTGCTCAGGACTTGTGAAAGCAGGCTTTCAGAGTTAAGTGTTGAAGTATTTAGGAGGGTATCTGAGAGAACCAGGGACCAAAAACTTTACCCAAGGGGGAGTGTAGGAAGTTTGGTCCAGATTGCCTGCGTCGTGCTGCTTTAGTCTAGTACAGCGAGCTGTAACTGGCGGTGTGACCTGTGACAAATAGGCAGCCCTGCTGTGAAATTCAGAACTAAATACGCATTACATGAATAATAACTATCACACCTCTCAGTGGTACACCATGGTTAAAGGCTCTTGCCCCAGATGCAGAGATGCACCTTCTTGTCTCACCCTGGGCTCAGGCTGAAAGTCAGCCCTGCTTGACCCAGCTCTAGGCAGGTTTTCTGGGCAGAGGCTCAAGGTAGGTCCAGCCCTGGCTTGGCCACCGCCGGCTGGGCTGCGTGCAGGAAGGACGGGCACGTTGGTGGCGTGGGGCGCTCGGGCTCGGGCAGGCGGCACAAAGGCGCTCGGGCGGCTTCCCTGCGCCGCACGCGGCAGCGCGGGAGGTCCCTGCCATCTCTCCGGCCAATCTCTGCGTCTAAATTATTTGCCGCTCCATTTCACGAATCTGGTAAATAAAGTGAAATGGGCCACAAGGATCACTTTGTTCAAATGTTTACATTGCAGAGTAAGAATACTCCCGTAGCAAGCTAGTTTTATTTTTTTATTATATTGCGTGTCTTTCACATCACTTGACATATAAAAACGATTTAAGAGGAACTTTGGAAGATTGATTTACTGTGGCATTTAACTTTCTCTTCTTTTGTTAAGGGATCAAGATGGACACTGCAAGCCACAACAATGGATGGGAATTTTGTAGGTTTTTTTTTTTTGCCTTTTTTTTTTTTTACTTAATTAACATTTACTTTTTATTTGTTGTCATAATATTAAAACCTGTTTATCTTTTCTTCACCAGGGATCTATTCAGATTCAGCCAGACCAAATGCAGGTACAGTAATCTTCTGTCTGAGAATTCTAAGTACTTCCCAAAGATTTTATATATATATATATATATATATATATATTTCAATTGCCCTTGATTTAAAAAAGGACTTTGAAAAATACTTACGTTTTTCCCTTCTTATGTTCATATTCAACAGACTGTGAATCCAATCCTGATTGTTATAATGGTCCCAGTTGTAGATGCTGTGGTTTATCCTTTAATTAAGAAATGCAAGATCAATTTTACGTAAGTTGATGTACTTACCTGAATTCAACATGGGCTCATTTTAGTGGTTTCTTTAAACTGCTCTTTCAGCCCTAATGTAACAAGAGCAAGAGTTCAGCTAGGGAGAATATAGTGCGCTTAAAATGGAGTTTATATTTTAAACGAATGTAAATAAAAAAAAATATAGGACTCTGCAAGTGGTATGTACAGGCACCACAGACTAGATGAAGAGAATCTAATAGCGAAGTAACAATATTTTCCAGTCAAGGGCAAAATCTTTTGACTGCAGGAGAGATGCTGTTTACTGGTTTCCACTTGCCCCATGTCTATGCCCTCTCCCTCCCAAAGTATAAGAAGTAGAAATACAACATGCATCCTTAGCATGTGTCACGTTTTGGGCTTAAAACTACCTGAGCCGAGATGTGTTTCCTCTTCGGTCCCAGTGAGGAGTCTGGCTCACTGGATACTTCTAGGCGTAGTTTCAGAGGGCATTGCACGTTATTTTTAATGCTGGTAACAAAGTGGCTAGCACTTGCAAGTTGGAGGGGCAGAAGAGAATATAGTTCTCAAAACAATTCTTACAGGGCTAACGTGCAATGCTGTTTTTCCATCTACTTATGAAAAATCGGGGGGGGGGGGGGGTGGGGGTCGCTGTCGTCGTCTTTTTTTCCTAATATAAAAAAAAGGGGGGGGGGGGGGGGGCGTGTGTGCTGTGCTGGAAACACTGTCATTCATTGGTGGACACTCTACATCTGACAAATGATACCATAAATAAAATATCTACCTTAAATTTACCCTTACAGCTTATGTGAATGTCAGTAGCTGTCTCCTAATTCAACATATTTCCCTGGCTTTTTCTATTCAATATTATTTTGATTTAAACATAGCAATATAGACACAAGTTGTTATCCTTTTTTAAAAGGCGTAACTTTTTGTCTTTCCATTGTTTTAAAGTTAACAACCATATTGGGTTGTTTTTTTCTTCCTGCAGACCAGACTTTTCCAGAAAACTAATAATTATGCTCAGCCAATGTTTGAGCCCAGCACATGCAGAGGAACGGGTTATTAGGATGCTGCAGGAAAGCTGTATTTCCTGATAGTGTAACTATGAATTGAGGCACCCAGCTTAGCAGAACACTTTCTGTAACAACATCAGCCCTTCAGATGGTGATAACGTGCTGGTTGCGGCCATTTGAGTTTCCCACTGTGGAAAGAACACATCTAACAGCTGAGCTTTCAATTAATATTTGTTTTATAACTCACGTATGTGTTTTGTTTCTGTACTAGGCCCCTGAGGAAGATCACTGTTGGTATGTTCCTTGCAGCTTTGGCTTTTATTGCTGCTGCCCTTGTGCAAGTGCAAATAGATGTAAGTTCAGCCACATGCAAGTATTTACTATTAATGTTTAGTTGTTAATACAGAACAAAGTCTGTTTAAGGTGAAAATGAGCCAAGACTCCTAAATTTGGAACAAAGCATATGAGCACAGAAGTAGAGGAAGGGAAAATATTATGCTAATCACACTATTGCATTGTACTTTAATAAAATTAACTAGCTATGAACAGCATCCTGAAAAAAAAAAATCTCATCTGCTGTTAACATAAATCACACATTAAAGGCAACCTCAGGTCTTTAACCTGAGATTAAAAGCTGAAAACCAGAGATCTGTTTGACCTACCAGGGAGCTGCTTTATATCTCTGATCTCTTCTGATATTTAGACTGGAAGCGAAGTGTGACAGGCCACAGTCTGGGAAGCATCAGCACAGCAAAGATGATACCTGTTTAAGGCAGGATGCATCACACCTAACTTGCCTTGCCCCAAAGGGAGGTGTCATGCCTGAACCAGGTATAGGTTCCCCTCTAGCTGGGGAGTCAGCAACACCTCTGGGAGCTGATCCATTGCATCCCAAGATCTGAATAGCTATCCAGAGGTGCGTGCCTGTCATCACGCGCTCTCTAGGTGAGATGCTCAGCTCTTAAATAACTTTAGTTAGGAATGAGGAATTCTCTCCTTAATGGAGAGAATGCCTGGGTCTGGCAGTGAAACAAGTTTTATATTCAACTGTTGAAGTTGAAAGTAAAGAATCTGGCCTTCAGTTGGTACAAACACATCCAGGTTGTCTCCCTTGAATGCCCTGTTCAGAAGGCCAGAGCTGTGCACACACACCTACTGGCACTGGGCAGAAGCTTCATCAAAGCTGGTAACTTCCCAGACTGTTGCACAAGAATCTCCTGCAGAAAGGTAAAGATGGATCTGGTTTTGTTGTGTGACGTACCTAAAGAGATTGAAGCGGACAGAAGTATGGGAAGGGAGGAAAGGATGAGGCAGGACTGAAACAGACACAACTCTTGCAGCTCTCGATGCCCTGCAAGAGCAGAAGCTATTTACTGTTAGACCTGGTGGGAAATGGAGTCTCCAGAAGTTCAGTTTCTCTGGGCTATCACACCGGGCAGTGCCCATACACGCTTCTGCCCAGTTCAGCAGCACCAGTGCTGGGGGAGAATGAGTCAGAACATGGTACAAAGAAACTGAGGACCCCAGGCTGCCATAGTATGTGGGAAAAGCCCATTCCTTGAACTGCAGAGTGGCCTTGGTAGTGGCAGCACGCTGCAGGACACGATCAAAGAGGAACCGCGTCCGGCCATGGAGGCATTGTTGTGGATGAAAGACTTCTTTCCTGAGGCAGCAGCAAGGCAGCTTGTGAGACTAGTAACAAACCCCATTATTAAAGTTGCATCCCTCTGACAATCGCAGATCATCAGGCAAATGCTAGTCTTCATCATGAGATAACGAAGATCACAGTAATTATAGTACCTTTTCCATGTGACACAGGATAGGGCACTGATTTTACTTTTTTCTGTCCTACAGAAAACTCTTCCAGTTTTCCCTGCAGCTGGGCAATCCCAAATCAAAATAATAAATCTAGGTCCTGATAGTGTGACAGCTCAGTTTGAACCTCAACTTAAGAATGTGACTGTAATGTCTATGGAGTCGGTAAGTAAGGGGAGAAAGGGAACAGCAAGTTTAAAAAAAAAAAAATCTAATAGAGTAAGTCAAAGTGGTTCTTAACTAATGGTTCAAAATTGATGCTTTTCTAGTTTTTTCTCTATTAATTTTAAAGATTTTTATATATATATATATATAGTGGAATTAATTGTTACTGAAAACAGTGAATGAAGACATGGTAGCTGTTTCAATATTCTAAGTAGTACTAGTTTGTTTTGGCAAGAGGTTTTTTGGTTTTGTTTTTTTCCCCCCCCAAGAAACTAAACAGTGATTTTGAACTAATTGAAAATTTCACTCTTGCTGAAAAGGTGCCATTGCTTAACAGTACGAACAGCCCTTCCTCCAATAAAAGTCCGTTCAGCTCTAGTAAGTCACTGCTCTTGCTGTGAGCGATCACTTACTTGAATAGGGAGTTTTTTCTGTGGCTACATCACATATATTAAGCTTCAGATTTTGTTGTCAAAGAACCTTTTCAGGTTCTATTACAGTACAACCTTGATAGCCCTGTTGACAGAAAAATGTGGTGGAGCTGATGGACGTTTTTAATAATGGATGCTAGGAAGTGTGTTCTCTGATAGCCTCCAGTCCTGTTTCCATTCGAAAAGAGAAACCCTATTCTATCCTCCTCCAAATTTGCCTTACATGGAAACAGACCTGTCAGGAGAAGATAAGGGCACCCAAATTGCATGCTGATGCAGAATTTATATAACCATGATGCCTGAAAATGAAGGGTGTAAAATGCTCCACTCCCTACTATAGACATCTTATAATCCAGATGTTTTGGATTATAAAATGCTTTTCATAATCCTGTAAAACAAAAGGGTTATTTTAGTACTACATTAACACGTTTATTACTGTTTTAAGTATTTTATGCTGATGAAATATATTTAGAATATTTAAAACGTGTCCTGGTAATAGTCACTCCTGTTATGCTGAAACCGTAAAGATGCAGCTTGCATTTACTTCTCTTAGGAGGTGTTTCCATTTGGAAAATGCTGCATCTTACACTAATGCTGTCTCTGTAGCTAAACAGAATTTTACTTGGTGGTGGTAAGCCTGATCTATCTGGAGCAAGAAACACACAGGAAAATATGTCAGCTATTCCACAATGCTTGCGGGAAGCTCGTGTTACTTTGAAGCTTGTTTAACAAAAGAAATTAATAAAAACTCATGATCAAATGAAATTAGTGCTTGATGTAGAAAACCTAACAAAAATGAGAGTTGGGAGATGCTTACTATCTCTGGCACTTCAGAAGTAACAACCCTGTAAACTGCTGACCCCCTGAGCCCATAACACTCCCTCAAAGGTGTAGACAAATATGCAGTTGCATGGAAATTCAGAGCAATTCATTTCTCTTTGTAGACGAGCTACATGACATTTGAGACTTCTCAGTTGAAGTCATTAAATATAAGCTCCGGAGGAAAAGTTACTACATTTACCGATTTGCCAGGGGGAAACCGTGCTACTCTTGGAATTAAAACTAATGCGGCAAACATTGATGTTAGAAGGGTAAGTCTGCTTAATTCCCAAAATATACATTAATGACTTGGCAACTATCTACGTGGAGTGTGTGAAGCTGAGAGGACAAGCTCTGGGTAGCTTTTCCGTTGTCTTATTTTCTGTCTCTCCCCCTCTCTGCTGTATCAGTGAGACTGGTGAGCTGTAGAGAGCAGGGCAGGATGTTGTTTAAAAAACAAAAGTAAAAAATGACCAGCTTCGTATTTAACTTGACAATTACCCTTTCACCAAGACTTAAATGTGTGGTCATACAGCGTTTTCTAGTAGACATGTATCTCAGTAGGAACCTAAAAGGAATTTTCTAGTAGACATGTATCTTAGTAGGATCCTAAAAGGAAAGGTCTGGAGCCTTGCTCTGAAGCCTCTGTTAATTCTCACTGCCATGTAATAGTGTACATTTAAGCTGTTCACTGACGCCAACAAAGTATCTTGATAATGGTCTCTTCCACCAGCTGTCTGAAGATGCCATGTCAAAACCAGAAGAAGGAAATAATCTCATCAGGTAGAGTTTGTTTTGCTCCTAAATTTTGGCAGTAGTGTGACTTCAGTCTGCCTCTTAAGTCGACTCTTCTTAACATAGCTTTCTGTCCTGTAGGAAATCTCTGCTTGCTGGACACCTCACTCAGTGTTTAGGGGCTGTAGGAACTTCTGGGGCATGAGTCATCTAAGCCATCTTGCATATCTGCTTTGGGTGTAATTTAGCTAAAATTGGAAGTGCATGTTTTGCTTCATTGTCTAGACTTTTTTGTAGACAACCAGCGCAGATTGCATGTCTATACCTCCTTTTTAATCTTGGGTAAGAAGCATCCTACCACTTCTCTGATTTTCTTCTGCATCTTCCATTTGCAGATGTATTTGTTACTCGCTGTAGTAAAGGCTTGCTTTGGACATTCTCCTAAGCAGGCAGTGGGCTGATGTGGGTCTAGCTTGCTTTTCTGCATTAACCACATTTTAAGAGACTTAGAGTTCTTTCAAAAATGTTAACTGATAAAAATGAAAGGGGAAGACTTGATACTTGTTGTGCTGCCAGTATTATAGTTAAAAGTAAAACCTGTATTCTTTGACTTATGCATATTTTGTTTAGTATTTCATCACTCTTGCATTTTAAAGGTTCATAAACAATTTGCCCAATACTATCAACGTGACTATGGGTGGCACTTCTTTTGGAGTACTGACGTCTCTTTCTGCCAGTAACTACAGCCTCTTTCCAGGAGGAAGGTAAGCATTTTCCTTTACCTAAACCTAACCACTTAAAGACATACTCATCCTTGGGAACAGGACATAAAACTCTTATTTTATATAATACACACAATTGTCTATACCTATGGTCTGAACTGTTTGGTTTTTTTTTTTTCTTTTTCAGAAAAGATGAGATTACAGTTATTACAAATGCAATGTCTTGTTCACGTACTTCAGAAGCACTTGGATTTGGCAGTGCCTACACAATTGTAATTGACAAGGTGAGTTGCCAGTGCTGTCGGATGGACAAGACAGAATTACTCTTCATGTCAATATTTTCTTTAATTAAAAAAACACTCGTAGAATTATCCCTCTTGCTCTTAATTCTACATATGGTAGAATTATTGTATGTTAAACAGAACATAAAACCATCATTAGCTATAAAAATAATGCAAGAATTCATGTTCATCACTAATGGCCTTCAATCTTTAGCCCTGTTAGACACTAAGGATTTGCATGAAGTCTGCTGTAAAACAACTACTACTTTATAATTAGGTATGCAGTGCTTCATATACAGTGTTTCTTACTTACCCAGAACTTTGTGTATATATGATTATAGAGATGATACAGAACTGCTTAGAGTGCCTTTAGTGTACAGACTTGTTATCACTGTTCCTAATGTGCTATTTTAATTTCCAGTGTTCTGGAGGCATTCTTAATGTAGCATATTCTGAAGATATTCCACCCAACACAGTCCATATGGCTTGGCAGATCCCTCAGTATTTTATTCTTACATGTGCAGAAGTGGTCTTCTCTGTCACTGGCCTGGAGTTTTCATACTCACAGGTAGGTTTTGCTCTTCAGAGCTCTCCTTGTGTTAAGAATCCTGGTACAAATGAAGATCTTCTGTGAGTTATTGTTTTTAAGTGGTGGTTCTGTATTGCTGCTTCGTTTGAGCAGTGATGTCCTCCAGAGCTCCCTAGTAGGCCTAAAGGCTGGCGCAAGTTGGCCTTGTTTCGCTAACATTCAGTGTTTTCCGTGAAGCTATGCTGAATTATATCATTTGAAGACTTGACCACCAGTCCTCAAATCTCTCTCACGTGTGAATTTCCACTGAAAATAAGTGGAACTGTACGGCTGCTGTAAAACCAAACTGGAGAGCCCTCAAATATAAAATGAACAAGTACTGACGCCTTATCTCCACACCAATTTCCTCCATGCAGTCTTTAGCAGCAGTTTAATTATACACTCTTAATTCCTTTGTCTTCCACCTCTGGTTTGTATTATTAGCTGTGTGTATTTCTCCCTTAATTCTGAATCTATAAACTGCAGTGATGGGAATATTGTAGGATGTGGCTTGCTAGACTACGATGCACTCAATTTCTTCATTTAATGTGTGCCATGTGCAACTGAGTCAGATGTAAAATGTGCCTGTTAGTTAGTCAGTGCCTACAAAGTAAAAGGTGTTATAGTCAGTACTAGTAATCTCTTGCTCCTCAAAGCCTTACCCAGGCCTGTTCAGTTCTCTAGCAATTTTTAATTAAAAAAATCCCCAAACTAACCAAGAAATCCCCCTCCCCCTCAGAGAACCAGTGTTTGTTATAATGTAAAGAATGCAGTAAACATCAGAAAATAAGTGATAGCAGTCTTTGACTAAAACTTAAGTGCCTTTACTTCTATAGGCCCCATCGAACATGAAGGCAGTGCTGCAGGCAGGATGGCTCCTAACGGTGGCTGTCGGTAACATAATTGTCCTTATTGTGGCTGGAGCATCCAAACTCAGTGAGCAGGTAAGCACACAAGCAAGTGGCATGTTTTTATATTGCACGAGGAGAATGCAGCTCTAATACAGGGGGGCAGTCATGGCTGATAATCCTCAACCACAACTTTTGAACATCAGCATTATGGTGGATTTGCATTTATAATCGGGATGTAGGAGGTTAGTGTTAGCTACAAGAGTGTACCAGTCAGTTGTAGAACTAGTGCTTGACTGAATCTCATTAGCGTATATAAGTAATGGAGTTATGAATCTTTTGTAAGCTATCTGGATTAAAACTAGTGTTGAAGGCTGTAACAACAGGGTGGTAACCTGTCTTCTGGAGCCGCTGCTAAAGTTTCTGTTGGTCTTTTTCCCCCAGCACTTCCCCAATGTGTGTACACATGTACGTACACAAATTAAACAACTCAAACAAACAAATGCTGCTTCAATAAAGGTTTCTGCTTCTTATCTGTTGTTTGCCATTCCTAACTCTTGCTCTCTCAGGCTCCTTCTCTTGCAAGCAGCAGTTTCTAGCATCTCTACAATAAAGATTGCTTCTCATGGTGTGGAAATGCTGTGAACTTCTGGGCTGAAATTCTAGACTAATGGGATTAAAACCTACCAAAATTCTGTTCACTGCTAATGAACCTTCACCTGCATACCTCAGCCTTGCCCTGTCCCTTCTTCAGGCTCCATTGGTTTCAAACCTCACTCCTTGGGGCATGAAAGCTGTGGTTCTCCTGGTGAAGAGTATTTGGACAAGACTTTCTCAGGCTACTTGTGGCACTCCCTAATGAATCAAAAGGGATATCTGAGAGAGGGGAGAGCGTGTCTTTGAAATGGGTCTGGTAGTCCTGGTTTCAGCTAAATTAACCAGAAGGAGCATGAAACAGAGCTGTTGAGGCTTTTTAGGTGGAGATAGTACTTTGAAAACAAAGTTCCTGGTCTTGCTCTCTGCCCAGATCTGTGGTCAGTAGAAACTTTACTGCTGACCTAAGTGGAAGCAGGATCACTGCCAGCCTGGTTAAAAATGAGATTACCTGACCAAAAGGAGGGGCTGACTTTCTTTTTCAGGCTTTCACTCCATTCCCAAGCCTCCAGGAAAAGGATATTGTAGAACTTTCCAGCATTCATAGAACTTTTGCCTCTTCATTGAAGACAAAACTGGTGAAAGGGCCTCAATTCTGAGTTGCTTTAATATGTATTATATACATTTAATACTTAGTCCTTTAAGTCACATGGTACTTGTTATACGTGCTCAGTTTCACATTCTGATTAACTTCTTTCCTTGCAAACAGTAAAAAGCGTGATTCTTTTGAGGAATGAATATTGATGGATAAATTATACTTTTTTTTTTTACAGTGGGCAGAGTATGTGCTGTTTGCTGCCTTGCTGTTTGCAGTTTGCATCATTTTTGCTGTCATGGCTTATTTTTACACCTATGTTGATCCAAATGAGATTGAAGCCCAGCTTGATGAGGACGAAAAGAAAGAAGTTGAAAAGGATCAAGATGTCTGTGAAAAGAAAGATGAAGCTGACTCTCAGATGTGAAAGGTGTATTCAAGGAGTGTTTGTAAATTATGGTATCCTGTTAACAATCCCTGCAGTAAGAGAAATCGGGGTACCAGTAACACCTCTGGCTAGTAAGTCTAATGGGAGAGGTTAAGAAAAACTGTTTTAACTTAAAATGCAGCCTCTCGTGGGAAGCAAGAGGAAAAGATTAGTGTCTCTTGTATTGAACATGGTATCCTGAAGAAACTCCAGCAGAATTTGCACTCTTAATGTACCTCAAGCTTAAATCTATAGCATTAAAATATTGAAATTGCACTCAGCACTATTAGACCCTGTGAAAAGATGTATTTTTATACTGCATTTCAATTTTATGTCATGAAAGAAACAAGTATTGCCAAGAAATAGTAATCGAAGCCAAGCTGTCTGCATGACCCCTCTAGCCTCACTGTTACTTGAAAGCAGCAGGTCACCGTGTGCCTTAAATTCCTTTGTACTGCCTTACAGATAATGGGAGGAAAGCTCTGGCATTGCTCAGATTAAAATGCTGTCTCTGCTCCACATGGCAGTAACATGGACATGCACTGTAATATGATGTTTTATGTGCCTGTTAATTACCCATTTACCTCCTGTTATGTTTTTAATTAAATGTATTAATGAGGTGTCCACTCAGGTAAACAGACAATGGCAAATGACATTTGCAATAAGCAACAGCAATAAAACTTTTGTTGTAACAAAACAATGGAAGTGATGTAAAAATATGACTTACAGTTGCATATTACCAAAACTTGATACCACCTGCTGCTTCATATGTGCTCCACCACTTGAAGCCGATGGACCAGTGTCAGTCTTCTCTATTTTAATATACCTGTAACACCCATCAAATTTATAGTAGGGAAGACTAAATTTTGCCGCTTAACAGGATTCTGTAGCCCTGTGGACCGTGTTATGGAGTGCCAGTGGTCTGCGTATTGTTCTGGGAATTCCTGGTTTTTAGATCCACATCCTAGACTTTCTCCAGCAGCTGGCTTGGACTCCCTGGCCCCTCCAGTAGCCTGGTCAGACTTACAGCTGCTTTGATACATGGCTTCCAATACTCTTATCCTATTTTACAGCAAGTCCAGCTTGTATGTGCAAGTGATCACACAGCCACATATATTCAATCAACGTGCGTGTTGCTGGCGTTGCAGATGTGTGGGCCCCTGTGACCCCTGGTTCCCACTCCAGCTGCTGGCACTTAGACCTCCATGTACACATGTGCACAGAGAATAGAGTCCCTCACCCATGAAAACAGTTAGAAGTGGAGTTTGATAAGGCAAGTACAAGGTGCTCTTCCCCTGCATCCCAGTTAGTCCTGTACCCCACAGGCGGGAAGCCCTGTTGGTCTCTAAGGGCATTCAGGGAGAGCCTTTCCCATGGACTCAAGATGCTGGGTGTCCCCCCAGCCCATGGGGCTGAGGGTTTCTTGGGACAGCCCTAGGAGGAGCTGCGATCCTCTGAGGAGCTAAGCGGGTTTTGCACCAGCTTTACTTGTGGTAGACTAGCCAGCCTTTCCTTTGCCATGCAAGTTAGGCAAAATAAATTGTCTCCTAACTGTATCCCTACAAGATAGCACCTTCTGTCCACTATTTTGCCTGTACCAGGTGAAATGTTTATTTAGCATTTTAACATTTCTTTTTTTCCTTTCACGTGCAGGTCATGTGTCTATGTTTTGTGTCATAAGCTGTTGGAAGTTAGCACTTCAGCAAACCCACTAATTTGCCTACCACATGGATGGATGTGTTTTATGGGTAGAAAGCCACTAATGCTGTAAAATTAGATGGGAAAGCTTTCTGTGAGGAGAAAACAAACTCCCCCATCTCTTCAGCCCTGTAAGGTAGTGTGGAGACAGTTGTATGTGATGAGATTTTATCTCCTTTCCAACAGGGGTTGAGGTAATTAAAGTTAAAACATCCATCTGCCTTCTCATCCAAAATTTGATATGGAAAAAAATCAGGGAACCTTATATAGACACCTGGGCAGCTCTTGTCAGCATTGCTGTGACTGTGTCTAGAAGCCATGTGCAGGGAATCAGCCTTTGGGCTGAAATCAAGTGTTTTCAGTGCTGTAGTTTTGAGGATTAAAGAGGTAAGGTTAACCTCTAAATCTGACAGTGTTTAGTTTTGGATGCTGCTGTCTAGGCTACCAGACTGCCAAGAGGGTCTTTTGCGTATCTTTTTCTGTTACAGAGAAGATACCCTGAAATCAATCAAATTAACAGCTGGTCACTCTAACTTCAGTTCTTATTTAAAACAAACAAAACTTTTTAAAAATATGCAAAAGTGGTGAATTATGAAAGCCTGTTCTAGCAATCAAATCTGCAGTCATGTCTGGCCAGGTAGATACAGGAATGTGTATGTCTGTATGCTTACTAATATTACAAATACACTTTACGGCTTCCATGTTTTTCCTACTGCTCGTTAGCTCAACCTAATGACACTTGACCAGGGCACTTAAAACTGTTCAAAGTCAGATTCTGTGAACTACATAAATCAGTCCCTGCCATTTGCTCTTCTCAAAAACGGGCCTACAAGCAGCACAATCCTTTCAAAGACTTCTCTATAGTTTTAGGCAAATGTCTATACAAAATTGTTGGGTTTTTTAATTCCTGGAATTAATTTCCTGGAAGCAATTGTAAGCCACCTCTGCATACTGTTACTCTACAAATTACTTTTTCATTTTTTTCATTCATACCTTGACACACTGCTTTAGCATAATATCACTGACCATCTTGCAGAGGTTAGAATATTAAAATAACTGGGTCACACCTTAGAGAGTGGAAGAGAGACAAAATTATCAAAGGGGAAGTAGCAACTCCTGAAATCATCCTGCCTCACCAGAAGGTGGGTCAGGACAATCAAGGATGCCCCATTTCCAGCCTAATTCAATCACTGCTGTTCCTCCTAGAGACACCACTGCAGGACAAGATCTGGTGGAGTTCAGCACGGTACAAAGGTAACATGAGAGCCCGCAATTCAATGGACTCTCCATTATTGCTGTTAAATTTTTATCACCTTCCCATGCTCATTCTTAATCTGAGGCAAAGCTCTGCATAAATACCTAATGGCCACAGGTGGATAACAAGTCACGCTCCATGTCCTGGGGAGTTTCACAGCTGATCTGACTGCATATGGGGGAGAGAGAGGAGAGGATGATAAGCAAAACAGGACCTGTCTTTTTCAGAGAGTAGCTACATGCTTACCTGAATTGGTTCAAAGTGCAAGTACATTTTAAGAGGCTTATGTGAAGATCAGTGGCCACCTGCTGCTGGCGCCTACCCCATCACGTGGAAGCTCTCAGCAGCATCCTGGTGCAATGACTCTATGGGAGAGTGAAGGGGAGCAGTCAGGGGAAAAAAACAGGCAGGGTGTGGGAATCAGTTTGTCACCTTTTTGGCTGGGGTATGTCTTTCATAAGTGCAGAGAGCTCAGTGAAGAGCTGGGAGAAGGTCTCCTGCAGCAGGGCCTGAGTGAGCTTGGACAAAAAGTGGGGTGTAGGCAGCGCACCCTCATGGGTGAAGGCCATGCTGCAGCACGCACAGTTCTTCCCTGTGTAGCCTTCATAACTGCTTTCTTGGGTAGCAGCTGGGCTGGACTTAGCCAAGCCACTTGTGCTTTCGTAAAGGGTCGTTTTCAATGAGATGCAGAACCCAAAGCCTTTTGGCAATGGCAGAGCTCATAGAAAATACATGTCGTCCTTTCCTTCGTACTGACATACCAAACCGATTTGACGATCTTAAGCAGTGTTACAACTGCCACTGACTGTATCCTAAAGGAAACCTAATAATTGCAGAAGCTAATCAGATATAGGCTTGCATTTGCCAGCAGATGTACTGGAAAGAAAAAGCTGACTTTCCCTGCAATGCCAAAATGGCTGTAAGACCTTCTGAAACACTCCTAAGATTAAGTGGCTCTGTCTCGGTAATGCCATTGCTATATTTTGGGGGTGACAGGGAAATAACAATTGAAGCTGTGGAAGCTGCATAGCTAAATAAAAAATGAATAAAAATGATGCAAGAGCTAGGTATGAAATAGAGCGAGGCACTTTCACAGCACTCTCTCTCTAGCTGGTGTTGCAACCCTTCGTTCGACCCGCTTCTGCTGTTAGTGGTGAATAAAACCCTCATGAGATTAAGATGAAATCTTAGCTGTCTGCTTATGTGAAATTGTGTTTGTCCACCTCCTGTGAGATTCAGCTGACTGGAATGTCTATCCCTGTCAGAGCTTCTTTCCATCATAGCCCATATAGGGCTTTTTTACTCCAAATTGAACATCCAGTTCTCACAGCTGGGAAAAATACTTTATTCAAGCCTGATAAACTCCTGGAGCCATGCCATGCCTCCTTGGTAGTGAAAATTGAAAATGTATTCTATTTAGATGGGAGTTGTATTTCCTAAAGGTCTTATCTTACAAAAAATGTTTCAAGTAAAGGTTAATTCAATTGGTGCAGCTCCTTCAGGCTGGTACTTTACTTCAACAGAGTGCCTGAGATCAGTTCTGTAATCACCTAACTGAATTAATGATATTGAATGCATTTTTACTGAATGCTGGCAAGGCCTGGCTGAGTGCTGAACCTGTGGGGGGCAGGGGGAAGGGGGGACTGCGCTTGAGAAACTGAGCATGGAATTGGGGGGTGGGGGAAGGAGAGAGGACCTCCAGGTCCTCTACATTTGCACCCTGGACTTCTGCTGCTCTGCAGGGAGCAGTAACATGAGGCTAATGGCCACGCTCTTCTCTGCTGCAGCAGGGCAAAAAGTTACTGTCGCAGTCCGTCTCCTCCCCCTGTTTGGGACCAGGCTGCAGTCAGTTACCATCACATTCCTGACTGAGCTATGGAAACCCAGGCTGGGGTTTGGGGTTGGTTGGTTTTGGCTCTTTACTTCATGCATTCATTGCAAGCGTAAGTCATCGTTTCTCTACTCCATCAGCTTCAGAGCCGATGGCTGCCCCAGCGCCCAGCAACTCCATGCGCAGCACGCAGCCGGTGAACTTGCTCCCTCGCCT